CTGCTGTTTTTTAAGTATTTACCAGTCAATTTCCAAGTTCACTTCCTCCATTTTGTATCGACATTCTTCATGTACAAGTAGCCGAAAACCTTCCTAGCCTAACGCTCCTGCCCCATTTTTCTCAATCGCTTTTCAAATTTTATCTTGCTGCTAGCTTCCCTGCCCTCAAATCATGTCCATCCTATATCACCTTGTAGTCCCTGATTTGGTGTATTCCCATGAGCTCAAAAGCAAGCCTACCTATTCCACGTTGCTTAATTTTTAATCTTGCTTGAACTTCTTATCTCATGCACAAGACCGCATTGCAGAACGTCACACCCGGAACCATGACCCCTATTCCTCTCACAACATCATACCTATTGTAATTCCACAGTGCCCTATTTTTCATCACTGCTGCATTCTTGTTACCTTTAGTCGTCACGTGAATTTCGTGTTCCCTTAGGTACTCGGTCCCATTGCTTATCTATGCGCCCAGATATTTGCATTTATCTGTTATCTCTAGCGTGACTTACTGTATCTTAAGCTCACAACCTTCATTATAATTAAAACTCATGTTTGCTGATTCTACCTTACTGAATATGAAATCTAACCTATCTCCCTCATTACCGCAGATGTCCATCAATCTCTGCAAATCTTTCCTGTCGGCCATTAGCACTGTATCATCTTCGTACATCAATGCTGGTAGTGCCTGTTCCATGAGCTTTCTTTGTTTGACGAAAGAAAGGTTGAAGCCCTGTCCGCTTCCCTCTAATTTGGCCTCTAATCCTTGTAGGTACATCATGAATAATAAGGGTGACAGGGGGCACCCCTGCCTAAGCCCCCGTTTTACCTCTGCAGGCTTGGATACCTGTTTTTCCCACTTTATAACTACCTTGTTACCTTTATAGATACCCTTTTAAAGATTAGTGACTACATGTTCTACGCCTAGTGTGTCCAGTATTCCCCACAATTCCTCTTGAACCACGCTATCGTACGCTCCCTTGATATCCAAGAATGCTAGCCACAGGGGCCTGTGTTCCTTTTCTGCTATTTCGATGCACTGCGTCAGTGAGAACAGATTGTCTTCCAACCTCCTGTGTTTCCGAAACCCATTCTGCAGTTCCCCCAGCAGCCCCTCATCTTCTATCCATGCCTGCAGTCTTTCCTTTATAATCTGCATCGCCAGCCTGTAGACCACTGATGTCACTGTTATAGGGCGGTAGTTGTTTATGTCAGCTTTGTTTCCCCTTTCCTTTATAGATCATGCTCATCCTGCTAAGTTTCCATCCATCGGGAACTTCACTATCGATTATTATTTTGCTCACTGCCTCTCTCAAAGCCTGCTTAGACTTCGGACCTAATGTCTTTATCAGCCTAATTGGAATGCCTGAATCTCGGTCGCGAGCGCCACCGCGAGGCGCTTGCTCAAAAGTGAAGGCAAACCAACTCCGCTGGGAGTGCGAGCCATTCCCCAGGCATTGTTTAAAGGAGGCGTTGCCTGAACGATGGATGGATGGATGCTATGAGCGTCCCCTTTATAACGGGGTGGTGACAAGTATGCCACCAGGCTCGACAAAAAAAAAAAAACCTTTTTTTCTTTTTATGTTGGCCTAATGCCTCTACTTCGATAAATTCTATCTTAATGGAAAAAAAGGTAAATTTTCAGCTTAAGTTCTCTGCCATTTACGGCACACTGTCCATATTTTATTTTTCCAATATTTATTTTTGTCCTTTCTCTCTAATTTTCTGCCACCAATACTCTAACCGTCTCTTACTTATTTCAATCGCGGGTGTGTTCAGCTTTCCATTGTTGTCCCTAAAACCCAAGGCTTCCTGTAGGCTCGTGCCCAAACGTACACCTGGGTGGATATCTCCACATTCAATCAGAACATGCTCCGCCGTTTCCTTATCTTTCCCGCAGCATGTGCATTGTTCTTCTTCTTTACTGAATCTTGCTTTATAACTACGCGTTCTAAGGCAACCCGATCTCGCTTCAAACAGTAAAGCGCTTCCCCTTGAATTATCGTAAAATGCCTCCCTCCTTATTTCATTTTTGCCCTTTCGGTAGTTACTCAAAGCCGGTTTTTTCTCCATAGCTGCCATCCAGTAAATCCTCTCCGCCTCCCTGACTTTTCCCTTAACGCTCTTTGTTGACATACGGCTTACAATACCAGCCGTATACTTACTAGTGAGTCTTCTAGTTCTTTTTCTCCACTGTGTGTCCACGCTCTTCCTATACAAATAACGGAACACCTTCTCATGCCCATCTACTCTCCTTCATATTTCTTAGCCTTTCTTCGAACCTTATTTTGCTCTGCGCTTCCCTCGCCTCAAAACCTGCCCACCCCATATCGCCCTTTACAGCCTCGTTTGTCGTCTTCCCGTGAGCACCCAACGCGAGGCGTCCCACAGTCCTTTGATTTACATCCATTCCCGCTTGCACCTCTGCCCTCATGCACACCACTGAGTTCCCAAAAGTAAGCCCTGGAACCATTACACCCTTCCACAGACCTCGAAGCACCTCATACCTATTGTATCCCCACAACGCTCTGTGCTTCATTATTGCCGCATTCCTCTTTCCTTTTGCTGCCGAGGCTTTTTCCTGTACCTCCATGTATCTATCACTCTCATTTACCCATACTCCAAGGTACTTGTATTCACTTGCCCTCGGTATTTCTTGGCCTTGTATGGACACCGTCTGATCACAGGGATCATTGAATACCATCAATCCACACTTCGTTACACTGAATCCTAGTCCAAGAGCTTCACCTTCCCTTCCGCATATATTCGCCAGCTGCTGTATATCATCTCGACTGTCCGCAAATAAGACGATATCGTCCGCATAAAATAAACCTGGAAGCTTCTGCTCAATCATCATGCCGCCCTGTTTGTGTGACAGATTAAAACCAATGTTGCTACCTTCTAGCGCTTTTTCCATACTCACCATGTACAGCATGAATAACAGCGGGGACAAAGGACATCCCTGTCTCAGACCCCTGCTAACCTCAACGTTCTCTTTGCTACGCATTCCTTCCCACTCTATGCAAACTGTATTTTCTCGGTATATCTCCCTCAAAAGCTGTATACAGTCGTCGCCCATGCCCATTCCTTTCAATATATCCCACAAAATTTCCTGATTAACGTTGTCGTATGCCCCAGTGATGTCTAGAAAAGCCACGTACAAGGGCCTATTCTCTATTTTGGATATTTCTATACACTGAGTGAGAACAAACAGGTTATCGTCTAACCGCCTGTCGACTCGAAATCCGTTCTGAAGTTCTCCCAAAATATCGTTATGTTCGGCCCATGTTTCTATTTTCATTTTTACTGCTTGCATCGCCATCCTGTATAGTACCGATGTAATGGTTAGTGGTCTATACGAGCGAATCTTGTCCTTTTCTCCCTTGCCTTTATAGATTAAGTTCATTCTACTTTGTCGCCAACTGTCCGGTATTTGTCCGTCCTTTAAGCTTTTTTCTACTGCTTTTAACAATGCTTCTTTAGTGTTATGTCCTAGTTCGTTAATGAGGCTAACGGGAATCCCATCTAAACCCGCGGCAGTGCGCTTTGGAATTTTTCCTTCGGCCTTTTTCCAGTTGAAATAATCAAGTACTAGCTCTGCCTCTGTTGCTTTCTCCGCCACACTTTTACTCACCGGGGAGATCCCCTGGACGCTCTTTTGAAACGAATCGGCTGTTACCTTTTGGATGTAACCTAGCGCTTCGTACCCTTCCAATTGATTTCCTCCTTCATCTAGAATATGTTGTTGCGTTGTGACAGACTTCCTACCTAGCGCCTTTATGTGGCTCCAAAAAATCCTAGGCGCGGCCTCCTTTTTTTCGTGTATCTCTGTCATCCAGCGTTCACTTTCACCTTTAATTTTTGCCTCTACCAATTTCTGTACAAGAGATTTTTTCTCTAAATATATTTCCCATATTTTTTTGACTTCGTCCTGCGGCCGCTTCTCCTTTTTTGCCTTTCTATGCTCCCGTGAGGCTTCGCGTCGCTTCTCGATCGCCTCCCGGATTTCCTTGTTCCACCAACTTTTTGGCTTCCTTTTCCTTTCCAGCAAACAGTTTTCTTCTCTTTCCCTATCTCCTTCGTCATTAGATGTAACAGCTCACTATACTCCCAGTCCTTGCCTGGTATTTCGCCTACTTCTTCCTCGACTCTTGCGGCTATATTTATTATTTGTTTGTCATTTAAATACGAGCTGCCAGACTTTGATTCCATGCTCATATTTTCAGTTTCGTATCCCATTTGTAATGTTATTCGTTTATGGTCACTACCCAAGCTGTTAATGCCTTCCTCGTCTACCCTCATTTCTGTCAGTTTGTGGTAAATTCCTTCAGTCATGAGACAATAATCAATACTTGATTGCTTGTTTCCGACTTCCCATGTGATCTGGCCGTCACATTTAGGCCCCGTGTTAACTATCTCCAGACTATGTTGCTCGCAAAGATCTAGTAATAACTTCCCATTGGTGTCTGAATATCCGTCAAGGTCATGTATGTGGGCATTCATGTCCCCTAGAAGGATGATTTCGGCCCCATTACCAAATTCCTTAATATCCGCACTCATGCAATCCACTATCTCCTGATTCTTTTCTCTGCAGTTATTCCCCGTCCACAAGTAGGCTACCCCTAGCCACGTTTCCTTTCCACCTACTGTGCCCCGAACCCAGAGGTGCTCTGAACACGTCTGTTTCACTCTAACCCATTTGGCTCCGCGGTGAATTAGCATTCCTACACCCCCACCTTTCCTTTCCGATATGGTCCTGTTACACCCTTCCCAAACATAATTTTTAATATGTGGTGGCTCTTCCAAGTCTCTAAGGTGTGTTTCTGTAACCGCATACACGCCTATCTGTTCTTTGTTTAACTGCTCCTCAATCTCTAACCATTTTGCCTTCTTTCTGCCACCCTGCATGTGGCAGAAAGATCGCAGCGCCAGAGTGCTCTCTAGTTAATTTTTGGAAACTTTATGGTGTGAAAAAGCCAAGACGGGTAGGTGTTTTGTGGCCAAGGCAATCCGTTGCTTGATACAATGGTAGCATGGTTAGGTTGGGTTAGTTTGTGTAATTTGTGGTATCACCGTGTTGTCTGTGAGTCAGATAACTCTGCCTAAAAACGCTGAACATTAACAAGAATTTTAAAAATAATATATCGTATTGCGCACGACCGGAATAGGAGCGCGCGCGAGGTGGGCAGCGTCGCATACTGCGTTCGTGCCTTTCAAAAGTGTTTCGTTCGTAGTGATGGCATCGTTTGACTAGAAGGAATGTTTGCAAGAGCATGATGCACCACCGAGACGATGAGGTACGTTTGGCAAAATGTTCATGCACTTCAGTGTTTCCTTTTTGGCAAGCACATCTCTACCGTTGTCCGCAGCATTGTTGAGATTTCTGCCTTAAACGGGTAATGTAGTGCAGAAGCTGGGGACGGTCGCTTACGTGTGGCAGCCCCAGCATACCTTATCGTCTTGTGAAGTGGCTGCATTGACAGTGAAACTTGATTGAGGCCCTGTTTGTCGTGTCTTTTCTCTTTGTGTGTTTGTGCTGTAGCCTTTACGTCTGCGATTTACATAAAAAATGCACTCGTTTAGCACCATTGGCAAATTGTTCATTCGCCCTATGAAAGGCTTGTAAATGTTTTGTACTGTTTCGAGTGGCCACGAAATTGATTCTGCATTTTCAAGATAGTCTGCAAGCAACCTTTCAAACGGGTAAAAAATCAGCTAGGGGCATCTGTCCCCTTTTCGCCGTTCATTCGCACTTACCCCTCTCGTAACCGGGCTTTTCTGCAGAAACTCCATATTTATCGTGTAACTAATGCTGTTGGAATAAACCATCAGCAGCGCTACAATCTAGAAATGCGAAAAATAGTTCATTTGTGAGCTGCGTCGCCTTTTTGTTCAGTTTGCCCCATAACATCGCAATAACCTAAACTCAGGCTTGTTCACGTTAATAATTCAATTTCAATAATGTGACAGAAAGTCACCATGTTTGTGCAGCTTTTCACTGTCTTGACAGCTAATTCCAAAAAGGTTTTATTTCTACTGATATTTCACCATCTTTCATAAAACACTTAGTGCAAGTCTTTTGAATCCCAGGTATTTGATTGCAAACAGTGGGGAGGTTTGACAAGGGCTGACACAATTCTGTTGACGGGATCAAACTGTTCGAAAGCTCCACAGTTTTTTCTGCACTAATGGAGTTTTTTCTGGAAAGATGTGCCCATTTTTAGAGCTTGGCGGCTGTTTTGTGTGGCCTCTTTTGTGTCCCATTTATGCTGTTTAGAATAACTGTGTGTACAGGCACTCCAGATAATTTAAAATGCTAAACATGCAGCCGCTCCCTGGCGGCGTCCACAGGCAAGGCCTCTGCAGTCAAGCATGTGTACCTCCCTAGTGTATCCAGATTGGCCTTCTCTAAAAGGGTAGTACTGGGTGCTTTTTAGAGATAGCTAGGGGCCTTTAACACTCCATAGTTTATAGATATTCCTCAAGGCATGCACTTGCAATTATCTCCCTCCATTCTGGGAGACTGCATGCGAGTAGGATGGAATAGCTACAAATGGCCTTCTGTACACCCTGTTATTCTGTTTAGTCCTTGCTTTAAGTATTTTCTGATCAGTGTTTCTACCTGCTTGGTTTATCAAGGACAATTTGTTCTATTACATGACTACTCTACTTACAGTTTTGTCTGCGATGCCGCCTGTAAAGCATGCTACAAAAAATTAAGGTGACATGTTTGGGAAAGCAAATTTCATTCAGAGCGAGTGATTTCATACATACTATAAGAGCTTCGTACGACTATAGAGTTTTTCATTTGCTCACCACACTTCGTGGTTCATGTATTTCTACAACAATCAGTTACAAAATTTGCGGGCTTGGTAACGAGTTTTAACTTTCACATTTTTTTTCACATTTTAATGTCTTTCTCCTTTAGTGTTGCGATAAACATTACATTATACTATTGTGCACCACAGCCATGTTTATATAGTCATTTTCTTGAGGTTGCAAGAACCATTGTTTTTATGTATAGCATTTTATTAAGACATTTCTGCTTTCTAAATGCATTAGTTTTATGTTTATATAAATATCATGTTTGTAAGTCTTATGTTGTAAGTGTTATCATGTTGTAAGCGTTCGTGCCTTTCAAAAGTGTAAGCGTTCGTGCCTTTCAATACTGCTTCTGCCAAACGGAAGGTGACAGAAGCAGTATCGGCCAAATGGAGTTTTAAAAGGAGTGAGCTCTTAGCTCTTGCGGCTCTGCAGCGAGTTTCACTTGGTGGAAACTTGCTGTTGCGTCCAGCTTAGAGAACACCGTTGCATCTCCAATAAGTCTGAGGACCTGTTGGCGTTCTCAAAGTACGAGTAACACAAAGACAATTATCCCCAGACACTTCAGAGACCACCACGAGTGAGAACACCATGGCGTTGGACTGTCAACGCGGTGAATCACTCCATCACTCTCGAGCTTGTTCAGCTCACGCCTCACGGTTTCATCTAATAGGATGAGAACGCGACGAGGAAGGCTGAGGGAGAATGGTGCGGCATCGGGCTTCAAGTGAATTCGATATTCGTCCTTGAGGGTGCCAAGTCCACGGAACAGTTCAGGATGAAGTAAATCTTCAGGTGCTTCTACCCCGCCAAGGAATTGCAATTCATCGAGGGCCTGTATAGCCGGCAGTCCCAGAAGAGGGACAGAGAGCGATTCACTGACGAAGAGCCGCTGCGAGGACGTCTTCCCGCACCAGCTTAGTCGAGCCGTATATGAACCAAACACCCGCAACGATTGACCTCTGGGTCCGGTCAGTACAGTGTCAACCTCATTCTGCTTGACTGGAAGCTTGGGGAAGTCAGCGGGTATGGCGGAGACCTCGGCTCCGGAGTCAACTTTAAATTGTGACGTGTAGTCGTCCACGGTGACATCCACTAATAAAGACTTGGTCCTCGCCCGGACGCTACTCAGGTGAATGGATCCGACTTTGTGCTTTGATTTCCGCGAGCGACAAACTTCCACGAAGTGCCCCTTTTTTCTGCAAAAATTGCAGAGCGAACTGCATGCCGGGCATTGTGTACGAGGATGAGACTCTCCACCACAGAATCCGCAGGTGGGCGTCTCTGCATTGTGAGGGTCGAAAGAAGGCTTTGCGTTCCGGTGATAGCGAGCAGACTTCTGCGTCTTTGTAGTGTCCATGGGCGAAGAGCTGCCAGCCTGCAACTGCTGCTTTTCTTTTTCCGCATCTTCCGCCTGACGTGCTTGCATCCAAGCTTCTTTGAGAGTGAGCTTAGCGTTTTTGCATAGCTGGTCTGAAAGGCGTGAGTTGCGCAAGCTGACGACGAATCCATCACGTAGTAGTCTTTTTTCAACTTGCGCTGAAGGATAGGTGCAGTGTTTCACCTACCTGCATAATTCTACATAATACACGTTGACGCTCTCGCTTGACTGCTGCACGCATCTGTAGAGCTCATTACTAAATTGAACGAAGTAATCGGTAAAACCGTCAAGAGTCTTGTATGAAGTGAGGGACGCAGCATTGAGAAAGAATGTATCGAGGAGCGGACGTGCTTGGGAGCCCATGCAATATAAGAGCGAAGGCACCTGTGTTTCTTCCGGTGCATTCTTGAGTCCCGAGATGGCAGCGCAGTCCTCAAACCGGCTTTTCCACGTAAGCCAGGTGCCAGCGTTCTCGAAGTCAAATAGTTTGGGCTGGACTGCTCGGTAGACAAGCAAAGACAATGGCTAACTAAGCTCAACATCGGGTCTGCATCCCATGTAGTGTTGACAGTTCACCGGGGACGCTAACCAAGGCAAAGCCTTAGCATCTGAGGAGCCCGAAGAAAGACAGCCAGTCCACATTAAACCGAAGCAACAACCCCCTTTATTCTTCTTAGCCCAAACGCTTCACCGCTAGGAGGGGGTGCCACAAATCACCACAATAGTAGCGACCTCTACATTTGCAACAATGCAGTTCTGTTGAGAGCACTGTAAGCAGTTTTCTGCGGTCTAAAATGAACTTGCAAATTCTATGCTGTATTCAATGCTATATTCTAAAAAACAAAAGGGGTTCTCGGGAAAGCTGGAACGTCTGTGAGGGGTCTTTCATAATCATATCGGGATTTCGGCACTTAGAACTGCCTTATTTGAACTGCTGTCACATGGATCGACGATTAAGAGGGAAAATTGCTCATGTTCACAGGAGCCTTGGCTACCAATTGGCAACGTTTTATGAGTGCTTTAAGAAAAAGGGCTACTGTTGGGTTGAAATGAAAATAAGGAAGAAGTGCTCGTGCAAGCTTGAATAGATGAAACTCCTCTATGGCCCTTACTCTAAGAGAAAGACAACAAAGGGCGCTCCTTTTGGGGTAGTCCTGACTTGCCTCATATTCTTTAAAGGGGCTTGCTAATCTTCTTGTGGGTCGCTCAGAAAAACACGTGCGGGCACATTCGTGGGCAAGTAAATGTCTTGAATGGTGTTGACACCGTTGTTGTCTGTCATGACGATGAACTACAACAAAGCACAGCCGTTAGGAAAAATTGGCCTCGCAAACTATTTTCATGGTTGTACTGATGATGAATGCGTTTAGCTGACGAAGGCATTGATTATGATAAGTGGTGATAATGATAATGAGTAATGCATTGAAGCACAGCTAGTGAAGTTCCCGTGTACGACAGAAACTGATTTAGTGTTACTGGCATTCCCAGTGTGGACACTTGAAAGCAAATTTTTTTCTGTCTTGCGCCTGTAATGTTGTTGTCCAGAGAGGTGTGCTTGCACAACTACCATGCGATGCAAAGTGTTAACCTTGTTCATTCCATCTTTTACAAGCCAGTCACGAACACGGTTGGCAGCTATATCCCAAACCACCATCATGCCGCCAATATTACCTCTTATCTGCTAAAGGATTAGGCCCATTGCACAAATGAGGTGTCTTACCGTCGTATGCTGGGTGGCACCTTTGTGTATCCCTTCAGTTGCAATGGCTGCCACTTTGTTTGCAGGGACTGAATCAACTTCAAGCTCTTCCTTTGTTTTGGTGAGCTGCCATTTCAGTTGCTTTGCGTAAGGCCACAGCTCTTTCCAGTGATAATTTCTCTCCTCTGATTGACGACGTTATGTAAAACAAATGTCGCATAAATGGATGAGGAGCAAATTCTTGATATTGTCTTGCAGCATGTATATGCCCATTGTGGATGGGCAGGGAAGTTTTTTAGCACATGGCACAGGAGTGACATAGAAATTGAAACTATTACCAATATTACACCCTGCAAGTATCTCAAGTTTTTGTCTAAAAAAGCCTTTCTAATTTGGCATATGCTTCTTAGAAGTTTTCCCTCTGAGCTGCATGTGCCCTAGCGGCGACATAGTGGGGTTTGGCGAGAACTCAGCCCAGCCCACGGTGTAAGATACAAACACTTTAGGTTGGACCACTTCTCGGCATTCTTATAGGGCGTGATCAAACAAATAAAGTAACAGAGACGCGCGTCCGTCGGGCCGCTGCCGGCAGCGCACCTATCGGCAAGACAGCGCAACTTGAAAATAGAAAAAAAAAACCGCACTGTTGCTATACACTCCGTGCGGGACCTATAGGGGGCACCTTGAAAGGCGTGCGCAGCGCCACTTGTGGTGTGGTGGGCACGCAACGTTGAGAGTCATAGCAGACAGCAGCGCCTAATTGCTTTGATAGCTATGGGTGCATAAGCGCCTGTGGCAGGTGGGGGTAGTGCGTGCTTCGAGCAGAATTTAAAGATATCACGAGGTTACAATTTTCCGCGATGCCACCATGAATAAATGGGAAAAGCTTCACGAAAGGGGCCTTGTTTTTTGCGTTAGTGAGTGCTTTGCTGCCCGTTGCCAGGAATGACGGCTAAATGCGTGTGTCAGGTGTGCGTAATGCATAAGGCTTGCTGCATAACTATCACGGCAAGCTGTCATTTTTTCGAACTTAAATTATTATCGGTGCTTGCCCACTGCCCGCGTACTTGGAAATTCTCGGAGTGTTTAGAAATATCAGTGGCTCCACGGCCACTTGCCGTGGAAACTGGCGTGCTCGTTGATTGATTGATTAATATGTGGTGTTTAACGTCCCAAAACCACCATATAATTATGAGACACCATAGTGGAGGGCTCCGGAAATTTCGACCACCTGGGGTTCTTGAACGTGCACCTGACGTGCTTGTTTGTTGCGGCGTCGTGCCACGGCGATTTGCAGCCACCGAGTCTCACCAAGTGCTTTGTTTGAAATTGTCGCGGCATCTTCGTCGCTCATTATGATCATAATCTTTACCTCGCCACTCGCGCAGCTCATGCTAAGTGCTTGAGGCGCGGGCGAGAAAAAGAACGCCAGATTTAGTTCAGAGAGGACGGCGCATGCCCCGTTTTGCCTTTCGCTTCCCCTTGTAGAGTGCTGACGGCGACGGCATGGTCACTTGACCACCGTCACGTGTCTCTCATTCACTCTCACTTCTTGCATTGTTTAGGTTGCTTTCCGAAACAAACATCGACATGCACATCCGTTGCTACAGCATTCCCAAAGCATCGTTTCTTGCCATGTATAGTTCTGCTATACTCTATGCCCTGCATCATTTCTTCCTAACGTACAGATTGTTTAACAGTCAAAGAAAATGGCTTTTGAATGAACCAAATCCGAAAGTTGGGATTCAATTCATTACTTCTGGCGGTTATTTACTTTGGAGCTACAGCACAGTAGCGTTTGGGATGCCATATGCGATTTGCTACACAAGACGAAACGAATTGAATTGTGAGGCTATGTAAGTGAAACCTATTCTTCAACGACATGATGCTTTTTTGTGAATTAAGCTAATTAGTTATATTGAAAATTATCCATTGCTAAAGACTTTGAGATTTTTAAACAAAATCATTTATATAACAAGGCATCACCCATTTCATAGCCGATGCCCCATGGTGCTTTGCGCCAGTTTAATAAGGACCAACCAACCGACGTACTAGCTTGATTCTATCAAGTGTGCATACGCTGCTGGATGGCTACTTGTGTTTACGGTTAAATGCTATGTAATTCAATTCGCCCCTTCACTGATGGACCCATCAACTCAGGAAAGCACTAATTGACCTCGCATTGCATTCGTCAAAACTGCGAACGGTGCGCGGCGAGGTAGTAATTATTAAGGTTCATTGAAATGTCCCATCAGTCTTGATCTGAAATAAAATTTCTTGCATGCGTTTCTTTTCTCACCAGCTCTACGGCAGCAAGAACATCACGCAAGATCATCGCACCCGGAGAGGTTGTCTCAGACCAATTCAAGCACACATCGGCAGAATGTGAAACAGCAGAGGAAATGAGAACTAAACACTTTTTACGTCCCACAGCTGTGATCGACTTATTTTACTGCCCAATAAAGCAGGAACAAGTCAAGAAACTCTGAATCTTTGTTCCCGCAGGACATGGCGTGTACCTGTTGGTACTATCGACTACGCAGCAGTTTATGATTCAGATAAACTATGTGCTAGCGAACCTTGGCGGAGTGTTTTGTTCTGCTCGGGCTCTCAACTTTTGTCCTCTCTGACGGCCGCGCGGTGCCGTGCCATTCTCAGTGCTCGGAGTCTATAGCAACAAGTAAGGCTGCTGGCAACGCCAGTGTTCCGAATGTGTCGTGTTTTTCACTCGCAAAAAACAAATCATTCGGCCGCTTCAGTCACTAGCGTGCCTTTGGCGTGTTTCATCATTCCCGTTTGTGAAATGAACTTGTGATGTGGTGAGCAGCCATGAATGAAATCTGCTGAAAGAAGACGTTCAAACAGTGAGTGAATATGAAAAGAAAGTGCTTCGTTAGCGGTTGCCGATCAAGTTACCCTATGTGCCAAGAATATGTAATAGTATCTAATAGTCCTTCTGATCCCGAGCGCCTCAAAGCATGCACTCAAGCAGTTTTTAGGAAGGGCCATCCGCTCAGCACAAAGAATGCAATATGCAGCAAACATTTCACAGATGAGATGATTCGTCGTGAATGTGAATGTATAATTTTTTCTGTAGGACCATTTGTTTTATGTTTATGCAGCATAATGATGTGCATAATAAAACGTGTTTTTTTTTGGTGCAAGTGTAATGAGCTTTTTTTTTACATTATTACATTGTGCGTTCAATGCTTGTTGTGAGCAAGTTTCTATTGGCATTCCTGAAAAAGTCTGCCGGTTGTTCAATGAAGAAAAAAAATTACTGTAACTTTTTTTCCATGCATGGTAAGAAGGGAGGGTGAAATGAGCGAAAAGATATGTGCAGGGTCCCCTGTAAACTTGTCTCCAAGCAGGCAATCACACGGTTGTAAATTTTTCGCCATATAGTTATCATTAGAGCCATGAAAATAGAATTTGGCGTGACACTGGACGGTATCTATGTAATGCACGGCAACAAATTGGTCAAGTTATCTTAGTGGTTGCTTCTCTTTTCACGAGCAGTCACGTCTTATTCAAGTTCTGCTTTGCTCGTCAAAACAATGTGCGTCCCCCCACGCTGTTCGTGCACTTCGCAGATCCAGTTTGCCGATACAAACTAGTGCATTTAAATAAAGAACCGATTAATACAAAATTTTAAAAAGCATGTCAGTTACGTGCGTATCTGTTGCGCCCCAAGCTGTATTAAGTTCACAGGACGTGCGAAAACCACTTCAAATATTGGCATGCGTACCATTGTGAGGCATGTAGATAGTGCACTCCACATGACTCAAGCACCCGTCATGCTTGCAGACAGCAATAATCACTTTTCACTCTTCGGCACGAACAATGCTCATGTGCCATTTAATTTAATTTTCCCAACGTAGGAGCGGCCCGCGATCCTGCCCCTATAAAACGGGGGTGGAATCCTTCAGGACCCCAATAAAAGTTTTTCATCCATCCATCCATCCTGTGAAGGACTGGTTATTATAACAACGCCTCTTTCTGTGTTCAAGTTGTGTCTATTCACCAATAGGCATGCTGCCCGCAGCGGTCCGATGGATGCGCGTTGCTGTTGCTTTATCTAGTCGATGGCGTCTCGCGAGTGTCTACACTTAAACTGTTTGTATCTTACACTGTGGCCCAATCTTATTGCTTGGACACGAGAACTTGAGGAGGCGAAACTGGGATGTGCAGGTGCCTATGGAGCGCTGCCTGCTGGGCAGCCAGGTGGTGCGGCTGCCGCAGGTGCTGTGTGAGCAGGAGGCCTTGCTGCGTGCTGTCCTCAGCATTGACACTTGGAACAATGTCCTCTCCGAGGCACACAAACTGCGGCTCATGGTAAGTGTTGATTCAATGGCAGATGCAGCTGCTGCGGAAGTGAGCAGTGCAAAAAAGCTGTGTCTGTGCCATTTGTTATGTTTTAACTGCTGGCTGTGTGCTCTTGATAACTTAACCATGTAAAAGAATGCAGCTTTTGATGGTGGTGAGAGTCCAAGAGTGAAAGCAGCATTGATAGGAGCTTAATACCAGGCATTTAACATGCATCTCAAAAAGCTGTGTCTGTGCCATTTGTTATGTTTTAACTGCTGTTTGTGTGCTCTGGATAAATTCTCCAGGCAAAATAATGCAGCTTTTGATGGTGGTGAGAGTCTAAGAGGGACAGCATTGATAGGAGCTTAATATTAGGCATCTAACATGCATCTCAGGGGGTCGACCAGCCAGATACACTTAATGAGCATGCACACACGGCTCACAGGAGAAGGCATAAAACACAGATGTCTTTGTATAAGTCGTGCATCCAAATATGTAACAACTTGCCCATGTCGAGATGGCTGTGTAAAACTTGGATATAATGAACTTTCAAGGTATCGATTTGTGTGTAGAGTAGTCTTACGTTGCAGTAGCAGTTACAGTTGCAGACACCCTAAGGCAAGTCCAACACCATCGGTTCTAAGCCTGAGACATTTTTTCTGCGGCTAGTAGCGTCCTCTAGTACACAAACACCTAGGTAACAATAACACCCGGCAGTAAAAGCACTGTCTCGTTGCGTTGGATTGATGAAGGTGATCTAGGGCTTTAGTCGGGAAACATGCACAGTCTCAGCAGGTGGACGAAGGTTTGGGGGTTAGTGGCGAGGCCTTGTATGTGGCTTTGGTAACTTGGTGAACAACTCCGTAAGAGCCAACATAGCGCGGTAGGAAATTTTCACTTGAGCCAAGGCAACGCGACAGCAGCTAGACAGCTCAAGACCAGGGTGCCAGAGTGACTGGTCCTAATCGTGTTTTTGGTTGGCCTGAGATGCCAGGAGTTGATCGAATGATGGCATTACGAGTGTAGAATGTGTTTGAGTTTTCATCTGAAGGGAGTAACTAGTCGATAGGCAAGAGTGGGTCGCAGCCATACAATAGAAAAAACGGAGAATAACCACTGATGTTGGGACATGACAAATTATAGGAAAACATTACGAATAATAAAGTGCTATCCCAATCTCGATGGTCCTCAGTCATGTACATGGATAAAATGTCTGTGAGTGTATGGTTCAAGCGGTCAGTAAGTCCGTTTGTCTGAGAATGGTGAAGCGATGCTAGATTTGTGGGGCATTGCACAAGAGCGAAGAAAGTTGTCGACAACTTTTGAAAGGAAACATGGACCTGGAAACATGGACATGGAGTCAGCAGCTGAAGCAGAGCATCATGGTGTAAGATGCCTTGACGGAGGAGAATCTCAGCGACATTGGTTGCCCAGCTGGTAGGGAGGGCTACCGTAATGGCATAACATGTCGCATAATGAGTCGCTACGGCCACCCACTTGTTACCCAGAGATAATGTTAAGAAAAGGCCTAGGAGCTCTAGGCCAACATGGAAGAATGGTTCGCTATAGGCTGGAGGTACCTAGCGGCAGAGAGAAAAGGCTTTTAGCGGTGTTGGCAGAGCTCGCAGAAAACGACGTAAGGCTGAATCTAGCGCTATAGGCCAGGCCTTAAGGAACATTTGTGCACGTGATCGTAAGTTTGGTAACACCCAAATAGTGGTGGTAGCATCGTATAATTGCAAGTGGATTGATGGCCGCAGATAATGAGGAACAACGAGAAGCAGTTTAGCACCATGTGGTGTCATATTGCACCTATACAAAGTACCATTGCGCAGAACAATCCTACGAAGAGAGCCGTCCCATGGTGTTGAAGGGAGGCGATTTATAAGGAATCACAAATATGGACCGCGACACTGCTCGTCGGTGATGTATAGGAAGTCGTTGAGGGACAAAACACAAATATCCAAATCTGTTTCGGTCATTGTCAAGTGGGGCAGTCAGTGTACTTGTGTAGCCATTTAGACTAGTACGACACAGAAAATATGTATTCTCGGAGGCGTAAATCTTAGCGACTCAGGCATCCTGTAGGATTTTTGAAGGAAGAGAGCCAACATAGAGCATGATGATCTCTTACCGTGGTGAAATGTCGTCCAAACAAGTATGGGGGAAACTTGCCAATGGCTCAACTATAGGTGAGGCATTCACGTGGTGCGATCGAGTAATTGCGCTCTGGTGGTAAAATAAGGTGGCTAGCATAAGCGGTTACACGATTGATTGTGCCCTGTCGCTGAGACAAAATAGCGCCAATGCCATGGACACTTGCGTCCATATGAATTTCTGTGTAAGCAGATGGGTCAAAATGACCCAGAATGGGCGGATTGACAAGGCGACTCGTAAGAGGCCTGAGCTTGCTCAGGTCCCCAACTGAAAGGAGTGTCCTTGTTGAAAGGCGAGTAAACAACTATGAGGTCCAAAAATTTATTGAAGAGAAATATGTGCGCTTTTCCTATGCAAACATGCTGCCACAAGAATTTTGTGAATACGGGCTATAATAAGGAAGTTGCAGAAGTTAGAACATCTGCTTTAGCCAGTTTGAAATTTTCGCGTGGCCCCTCGCCACCCTTCTCCACGAAAAAGTAGCCTGTCGGCCTGACTCCGCCCACTTTGGGTAAGCACCACAAGTTTCGTGATACGTCACATGCACGCAACCAACGAACGAGCCTGGCTTTCCCTCCATGAGCACATGTCATAGCCGCACGGGCAGCAAACCCCGCAAACATAGAGCGAAAAGTGCTTTTCCGCTTGCCGTAAAGTAAACACCTCTTCTTCTCGAAGGCTTGCGTTCTGGCAGTACTGCTTCTTTCAGAGTCTCCGGCTCTACAAAACGGCTGAGGGCAGCTCAGAAAAATGAAGATGCAGACTGCGGGGCTTAAACTACATCGCTGCAGGGCCAAGGTGCTGTTTTGTAGGGCAAAGAACCTCAGTGGTGCTTAACCTTGCCCATGGACAAGCTTTCGTCAGATTGGTCGTATGAGTATTGTTGGTTAGGCGAAGGAAACAGGCACAGGATTGCTTTTTTGAAATGGAGAGTCTATGCGACGCAGCACTGTAAAATTCGGCTAATGTGGTCGCTGGGGTCTACTGTACGAATGGACGAGCTTGTTTGGGGGGGCCCGTTTACTGGCTCTTTAAGAATATTGGTGAGAGGACGAGTGATTTCGGCCAAGTTCTCATTAAAGCATCTGAAATAGGAACACAGCCCCAAAAAACTGCGGACATCAGCAGAGGTACGAGGAGTTAGAAACTTGCTGGCTGCATGTTCTTTGTTGCGATTAGGCTGTTTGCTAGTAGTATCCACCAAGTAGCTGAGGACTCGTACCGTTTTTAATTAAGCAATGAACCCACTCATATAATAAACCCACCTCCACCTGGGTCCTTGAAAAAAAAAAACAGCTTTAAAGGATCTATGCATTTTATTACAGTGTGATAGCCAGTGCCATTTACGGTCAAAACAGCGTTACGTCACGCCATTAAAGCACAAGTTAATGATGCAATAAAAGTGAAAACATAGTTTAACAACCATGCTAAACAGTCGTGAGTACGGACGACGTCAAGCGAAATTTAAAAGTTGTGCCTTTTGCGGTGGAGCGCCATCTGTCCAATGCGAAAGAAACCTTCAGCTTATAATGCTGCACAAACTTGGGGTGAAAACAAAGCAAAAAACAATGTGCTGCAACACAATTGCTCCCACTGCGCCGACGGCGCACGCGACGTGCACCTTCAATGTGTGTGTGCCGCCATCCGACGCTGCATTTTTGTTGACGATCGGCCAGTATGCTAGCAATATGGCCTTGTTTGAAGTTGGTCGAGCATGTGCTGGAGCAAGGGAATCGAGTGGCTGGACGACCCTTTCAGCGTCGATCCGTGCATGTTGTCCTGTACACGTGATATCTGCACAGCCACGCCGCACTTGCACGCTAGTGCAGGGCGAAAGAGTGTTCGAGGAAAAATTTTTCGAATAGAGACTCTGTAGTCCCGCCACTGAATTGCAAGCCAGCAGCACTCACAGCGAGTTTTTCAATACTGTCATGCAAAATTTTTGCTGCTTCCTTGACTTTTTTTCTCCCGCATAATGAACACTCCGCCCTAATCGGCATCAACTTTTCTGAAAAAAGGGGGTTCATTACGCGAGTAAATACAGTAATTGACGACGGCTGAAATGACATTTTGCAGAATTTAGCTGTTGGCCTTCTTGTCGGAAGATGTCAAGGATGGCTGAGAGACGGTGGAGGAGGCTGTCAAACGTCGGTAAAAACACAATGTCATCGAGATAACATAGGCATGTGAACCATTTAAAACCATGTAAAAGAAAGTTCATCATACGTTCAAAGGTGGCCGGGGCATTACATAATTCAAAAGGCATCACTTTGGATTGATAAAACCGTCTGGCATGATTACCGCGGTCTTCACGTAATTTCTGTCATCGACTGCTATTTTCTTGTAGCCAGACCGTAAATTGATCGAACTGGCATCGTGTAAGCAGTCCAGTGCGTCATAAATATGTGGGAGTGGGTAACCATTTTTTTTTTTGTGATCTTGTTAAGATGATGATAATCGAGGCAGAACCTTCAAGTATTGTCCTTCTTTTTTCACTAAAACGACAGGGGACGGACGCCCACAGACTGGAGAAAGGCTTGATAATGTCCTTGGAGAGCGTTTTCTCTTCCGCTATTTGTATGGCATGACATTCTGTCACTGACACACGATAGGGACAGCAATAATACAAAAAGGCAGGCTAGTTGGTTTTGCCAAACTCGAATATGTCTGCGCGGGTCTTGTCATCTTTTTGTCTGTGTCCTTATGTGTGTGCTAAAGTTTCAGTTCATGATCGGGGTGCCTATGAACTGGCGCAGTGTCACTATTGTAGATTAAATGAGTAACAATGTGGGTTTGACTGAGCCGGTTTGTTGAAATCAAATATGTCCTCGTAGGACATAAAAATTCTACGGAGGGCGTCAGCGTAAGAA